CAGAAGATAACCGGAAACTTCTTATGGAAAAACACGAAATTAGATACTTGCGAATAATTATTTGATGAAAATTGCTGAATATCGTGAACAACGCCGACCAATTGTTTACACCGACGAAACATATATACATACATCCACATACTCCTCTCGAAATCTTGGTCAGATGGAAGCACTTCAGGTTTGAAGCAACATATATCGAAAGGCAACCGCTTAATCATTGTTCATGCCGGTGTGGATGGCTTTATACCAAATGCATTGCTTATGTTTAAAGCCCACAACCAAAAAGTAGAACCACGACAATATGAACTATGACAACTATTCAAGGTGGTCAAACTCAACTAATACCCCCCAACTTACTACCAAATAGTTTGTTGTTGTTGACAACGCACCATATCATAACTCAATACAAAATCCTGCACCGAATAGTAATTCTAGAAAACAGCAAATGATTGACTGGCTGACATTGCGAAACATTGAGCATTCATCCACGTCTTAGCCTCAATTATATGAACTGTTCTTGCAAAACAAGGCGAGATTTGTAGAGTACAAGATAGACGAAATATTACGACAGCACGGTCATACTGTGCTGCGTTTACCACCATACATCCGGAGTTTAATCCTATAGAAAATATATGGGGATAGTGAAAACATATGTCGCAAAAAAGAATGTCGCAATTAAAGTTGAAGGTTATAAGTCATTAGCTGAAGAAAAATGAACGCCATAACTGTAGAGGAATGGAGAAAAGTTTGTCTGCATGCTATTGAGGAGGAAAACAAATATCAGGGTAGAGGCAGCTTTAGACACAATATCAGAACGAATCATAATTAATTTAAATAATTCATCTGATGAAAGCGAGGATGGGGATGATTGTGATATGCCTGGGGTTGATGAATTATTAGAATAAAACATTTATGGCCGGAGAACACCTAATTCATTACACGTCTTCACTGAAGTGAAAACCGGCATTCACTGCTTGTAATATTTGGAACTGGCTTATCTGCCTCATACAGTTCCATAGATTACAATCAGTGATACACATTTTCACGTCCGTTTATACGTGCGTATGCGTAGACGTGTACGATTTGGTGTGCTCCAGCCACAAACGTATATTACCTAAAAAAAAAAACTAAAAATAAAATGTTGTTTTTTTTTTTTTGCTGACCATACACTACTACAAACGCAAAAATTTCTCCAAGCTAATTTACGTTTAACTAATATTGCCAGTTCTCGTATATTCTTTGTCCGATTTGAGAACTGGCAGTAAATGTAAATTTAGAGCCATTTTTTTACTGATTTAAGACAAAAATAAGTTACCTAAATGAATAAATAACATTTTGATTTGTTTAAAATTTAAATTAAGTATTAGATAATTTAATTTAACGTTACTGTACGTATTTTGTAACTTATATATTTATATATTTAATAATAAATTGTTTATAAAGTGAAATAAGAAAATATTGGGTATTGTATATGTAACAAAAAGAAAACGTAAAAGACTGAAACGTCCATGGGCGGGACATATGGTAAGAGAAAAAAGAGAAAAATAGACAAAGAAGGTAACAGAGTGGGACTAAGTTAACCCTAGGAATGGAAGCTAACTCTGTAACGCAGTGTGTATGAACGAAAGAACTCACATAACATTCAACCTAATTAGTTTTTAAGTACAAAGATATAATATAAAACTAAACGTTGAAATTTTCGCCAAAAATTTTCTTATTAAAAATTACTCCGCAAATTATCAAGGATCCTCAGTCATTTTTCACACGACATCTTGGCCAAGATATTGCTATCGCGACCACGTCCCAAAGGGCCTCGTTACCAGCCCTTAATTAAACGCACCTACTACAACTTACTTGTGTATATTTTGCTTGGGCTCTTGCGTCTATGGATTATCTATCTGTACTTACAGTCAGGGTTGTCTAATGTATTTGGCCTTACAGTGGTACAAATAAAAACTTACTTATTCGAACCTTATATTAGGAATAGTATGCTAAGAATATGGAGATCATAATTTCTTACTTATAAACTCGAATAGTAGTAGTTGCTTGTTTTTAAAGTTATAGTAAATAGGTCTGTTTCTAGAGTCTATGTGTCTATGGAAGGGAAGGTGATTTTAAAGACACAATGCATTGTAATACGGGGGAGAACTAAGTTTATAAATTTAGACATAAATTAGAATATATTATGGCATTAGGAATACTTTGTTTTAAATTTATTTAAACTTGATAGAGTGAGATATATCAATTAAAAAATCTTTTATTTGCCGAGAAAATCATACTTAATATGTATTTAGTTTTTTGATTAGTTAATCGTAAAAATAAAAATAAGTACTTTTTTCATTCCTTTAATTTTTGTTATTAAAATTGTATGCACTTCAGAATATTTTAAAATCATCAACCCTAGACATAAAGATGTGGTATAATAAGGTCGTAAGTGTTTTTAAGGAAAATCAAGTTTCTGTGCAAACAAGGGAGCGAGATTGTTTAAATTATAGCTGCTACGAGTTGAAGACATTTTCATTTTACGGAAACCTTGTCAACGGGTTATTTAGGGAGTTATCCGCCACTGATAACGTTTGATAATATTGTTATTATGGCTGGAATAAAATAAAAAGATATATTGTTCTATGTTTATATAACATAGAATTATTTACAATTCACTTTACCGACATTTAAGTAGAAAAAATATTAGATATTTAAGGTAGTATGTAAGTTTGTCTATAATTATTGTTTGGCATGAATGCTGTAATTAAATAAATAAAAATAAAATCTAATTTCGACAAAACAAGTGTTGGTTTACAAATATTTTTGAATCGAATACGAAATTCCTTCATGAAAAGAGTGTAATAATACTAAAAAGAACGGCAACACACCCGCCATTGCTCTGGCTGGTGAGTGTCCATGGGCGGCTGTCACTTACCATCAGATGAGCCTCCAGCCCGTTGGCCCATTGTTATATAAAAACCTATACATATAAATAGACTTTTAGCTCCAAATATAAACAATCTCACTCGAACGGCGCTTTTGTGGCGGATATTGTTTATCAGAATGCCAAATCGAAGTCTTAGTCTGTCTTAGTCAGTGGTTAGACTGGTCGAGGATCCTCCCTGTAGGTTGGAGAAACAGTAGGTACACCATCTTGCCTCCGCAAACAGAAATCATTGATAAGAAATGCTTAGTAACACGTAGAAGATGATATTCATATTTCCATAATTATTCGAGGCAAGACAAGCTCCTATTAACACATCCCTAGCATAGATTGATCTCGATTGATGTCCACTGCTGGAGATAGGTTTCTCCACAAAACTTCCAGTACGAGCGCTATCCCGCGTTCTGCACCCAACGCAGAAAGATCTATACACTAAATGTATGTCCTAAACAAGCAGAATGGGAGACTTTTTCCTGTACACGTCTTAAATACAAAAAAATGTTATTGTCAATGTAAACCATTCTACAATCCGCTTGTAAAAATGGGTCCAGTTTAGAAGGAGCTTAATTATAAACACAAGCATAGAAGATTTATATATATATAGAGAGATTAATAAGATTATTATCATTATATCATTTATATAGAAACAAAATAACAAATACTTTATAAGAAAATAATATTTTTTTAGTTACCAGTATTATGGTCAGGTTGTTTTATGACATATTTTAGGTCATTCTGTTCTACCCTGGGCTAGCCTGCTGCATCTCTTCGGCAGACCGACGGCCATCTTTTTATTTGACGTCCCCTCTTCTTTTACCTTCTCTTGGACACCATTATCTTTTGTCTATTGATCTTATAATATACCTATCCAGTTCCTATTAGTTATTAAGGACACTCCAACAGAAAACAGTATATGTTTCAAGAATTCCCCTCAGTCTACGCTGATTCTTGTGTCTGACAAACAGAAACCTTATAAAAATCAATATTTAATATGTTTATTTCTTAATTTGAGAAGACATATTGTATTTTCCATTAATGGAGTTTCAAGACAGAAGTCGATGATTGTGGACGGATCAAGAAGGAATTTAGTGACAACGTTGACAAAATTCCAAAACTTTTCCAAACTATTTAATCATATTAATTAACTACGATAAACAAATTAATTTGCCGACTCCTAAGACAAATCGAGTGGGGTGACCACACCGCAATAAATACTGGACTGAATGTTGTGGGCTTACGTACAATTGTACCGGATAATCCCCGATTGACATGGGATTTGTGGACAAATCGAGTAAATTTATGGTCAACCGTTTTAATTTGGACTGTGCATCTGTTGTTTGACCGAGATGTTCATACGTTAATTTTAATTATGACTTATTTTTCGCAAGTGTTTTGTGGGAAAATTAACATAATAATGAACGACTGGTTGATGGAAGATGGAAAATGGAAGATATTGACTTTCTTTTTAAAAGGATTATGTGTTATCAATTAAATTATTCGATAGCTACTTTACTTTATTTTTTTTAAATTTAATTTTCAGAACATTCATACAGAAACATATGACATTATCTCTATACTGAAATCCGTCAGAAAACTCACTCTCTACTTTCACACTTCGGATTTCTTTAGTATATTTTTTGCAACGATTGTAGGGCCTCAAAAAATACTCTCAAAAACAATGAGCAAACATTCTTCGTTAGTCCAAGCCCAATTTGCTAAGTGGACTTTGTAATGACAGATTAGCGGCCTCCGCGGCACCTGAGCGGCCCGGGCAAAATATGCAATAATTCACCCGAACCCGGCCATCCGCCACCCGGGTAATATACCCGGATCGCGGCAATAAATTTGTCAGAGTGATTAGTGTGGCAAGTAAGGAAACTATGGAAAGATTTCTTTAGGATTTCACTTGAAATTTTATGAAATATGTATTTCTTAAACAAATTTAGGGAATGTCTATTCTGAAAGTAAAAAATGTTACTTCTTAAAATATTTAATTAAATATTAAATAAATGTAAAAATTAAATAGAATTAAGTGTAACAAATCTTTTATGTATGTAGAATCACTTCACTTTTATAAGGTAGTGTTTAATTTATTGTTTTTATTAGTTTTCTTAATGGCGCTGTCGTCTAGTGCTTTTTTGCGTACTTTGCCGAGCGTTTTGGGTGAAGTTGCAATTGGTTCTTTAAGATCCTTTAATGGCGTTGTAAGTATTCTTTTTGGTATTTTACATGGCTTGGGTATTAATGTTTTTTTACCTGACTCTGGAGAAATAATAGTTTTATGAGGTAAATTACTAGGTTTAGGTATAGCGGAATGATGTTTAGATATTTCTTTCCGCGTGGCATTATTTATAGAAGATTTATCGGCTTTGGCTATATTAGAAATTTCTGTTTTTATACTTTTGGTTACTTTAAAAACAGGTTTACCGTTGTCTGCTATGAAATTTTGTATATTTTTATGTTCTTTTGGAACTTCTGCTATGGCGGATTTGTCTCTTGTTGACACTTTTGTGGTAATCTTTGTTTTTATTGATGATGTCGGTGTTTGAATTTTGTCAGTTTTGATATTTTGTAAACAGGTTTTTAAAGCCTTACTATTTTGTTTATTATCTTTGACAGGCAACAATTTATTGCTCTTACCCGATTGTATATTACCATGGTTTTCTGTAGAAATCTCTGTTGCCTTACCTGTGAATTTTTCAGGTTGGAGAATATTGTTTTTTGTAACAGGTAACGTTTTGTCATTATTTTCGTCTCCTTTCTTCTTTAATGAACATTTCAAAATTTTAGTTTTATTTTGATTTGTACTTCCATCTTTTTTTAATTCTTTCCCTTTTGTTGAATCAGTTTGAACACGGTCTAATTTTTGTGTTAGATGTTTTTCAAAGGACGGAATACACTTTTTTTTATCTTCATTTATTATTTTCATTACTATAGGGTTTTTAACTTTAATGCTAGTTTTTTCGATATTTTCGAAAGACTGGCAAAGCTGTACGTTTCTCTCTGTACTATTTTTAATGCAACTGGTGCATGGACATCTCTTAGAACCCTTGCCAGAGTTTAGACTAGAGCAAAGTTTCATGTCAGGCCTGCTTTTAAGTGTACTTTTAGACACAGATAATGTAGCATGAGTATACGATAAGTTTTTGATTTCATTTTCTTCTAAAAGAATAAAAGATGAAGGTGTAGAATTAAAATTTGAACTGCTATTCATTGCTTTGCTGTTAGTAATGTAACATGATGTTATATTATCGCATGTAGGTTTGCAATTACATCTACGTGAATTCGAGGTCTTGGCACTTATGTTCGGGCACACATTGTTATTTATTGCATGTTTGGATTCACTTGAATTCGCGAGACATTTTTTTAATGATTCATTAATATGTGTAAAATTATTAAAAACATTATTTCGTGACATATTTGTAGAAGTAGATTTCATATAGTATTTGTGATCATAAGTGGGAAACTCCACATCAAGCTCCAAATTTCTAGTTCTCGGTTTTACAAATAGTTTAACACCGTGTAAAGTAGTTGGATCCTTTTTAAAATATGAAAAAAATTGTTTGACCCCTCGTTTCTTTTTCGGTTTTTTTCCACACAATAAGTAGTACAATACTGGTATACACCAAATGACTTCTATCAATAATATAAAAGCTATGAGCATACTCTTTTTTGTAAGAGGAATTGGAAAACCAGCTGATGCAGCTTTACAGCGTAAGTTCGAGTAGGCGTTATCACAAAGATTTACCACGTTACCATACAAGCCTTTTGTTTTGTTGAGAAGCGATAGACAGCTGCCAAATGCAACATATAAATCATCATCTTTTAAATGCGGCACCACGTCGGTTGATAACCATATTTGGAATCTCGATCCAAAGTCATCAATAGTACCTATATTTAGAGAATGTATACAACTGGTAGCTACATTATAGTAATCCAAGAGTGCATTCGAAGAATTTGGAGAATTTAATTGTATCAACGACTGGTCCTTCAAAGGTATAAACATTGTTTGTGGAAATAGGTCCCAGTTGATGTAAGGTAGTGGTATGGTTAGGCCTTTATCTGTTTTTTCATAATATGAGAGATTATCACAAGATTCACGAGTACTCCTTGCGAACCATTCATGTGGATTGGACGCAATATTGATAGTAACGGTTTGAAGGGAGTCCGCATTTGGGTTACTCCATGTTCTTCCATCTGTTTTTAAGCTTTGTTTGATGTTATCGTACATTTGAAAGAGTTTTATAGCGTTAATAGGACTAATTGTTCCCCCGTAGTAGGCGTATTTTGTAATAGGTAAGACCCATACCTTTAGGTATCCACCAACGACGTCAGATAGAGCATTGGTCATAAGATCTTTTTCTGTTGGATTAACAGCTTCATCAATCACTGTGGTATAACAGTTTTCTACGTAGTTAACGAGATGTGACAAATATTCATCGGATATAGAATGGGTAAGCTTAGGGGACGGTATTAAGTTTTGAAAATGTCTTCGAGCACGTAATGATGCAAGTTCGCTTTGCGTCCATCGATGTTTATGCAAATCGTTTGGTGAAAAAAGTACAGAACCAACATTAGGTTGACGAATATAGGATTGGCAAATACAGAACATTCCAAGAATTACAGTAAGCTTCGCAATGTCCTTCATTACAGTAAAATCTTATAAAATAAACTCTTACAAAAGTTATCATGCTTCTTCCATGGACACAATGTGCCATAAATACGACACCCATGTCACAGAAACTTCAAAGCTGAATTGTTATAGAGTTTAGAAAAGCTACAAAAGCTACAGACTATAAGCAAAGATACTATAGCTAAAATTATACGATTATTATTATTACCTTTAATATTGCCAACATTAAAGGTACTCTGCACAGGGAGCAAACTGTAGAATTTATTTTAGTTTTCTGTATCTATTTTAAATTATTATTATTATTTCTACGTTTGTTACATATTCTGACAGGAGATGGCGCTGCCGGCCCAATCACACGTGGTGTCAGTACAGTTTGATGTTAGCGTTAGGGATAATGAATAGGCGGATATATGATTTTATCCAAATCCAATCTGGCCGAGTAATTTACGTCAAAAGCCATAACAGCCCGAACTTAGCTGTTCAATCCCTTCAGGGTAACATCATTTAATAGATTTCATTCAAAAAGAGAATCCCCCAAGATATAGTATGCTTAATTTGATCCACAGTTAATGATTAAATAAAGTAGCACAATTTAAAAATTGTGTTGGTTAACGTTATTGTAAATACTCTGATAATATTATTGACAATTGTCGCAAAAGCTATAAAAATAGCAAAATATATAACTAGGAATACACCTGAGTCTAACACCAAACCGTAGATTCTTCTATTTATTTATTTATAAGTTCTAAAACAATGTACTATAAGCGTCAAATTATACACGAAAATATTATGACATCTCAAATTTTACACACATACACATGTACATCAATTATATTAGAACATTAACTTCTCCTTACATTATTTGTAAGCTTTTTGGTAATACCTTAATAAACTCTAGATGTTGTGGAATTCATCTGTTTTTGTTTTATAAATTAAAAGACGTTTTCCACACTTGTCAGCTCATTGATTTCACACCACCAACTGATAATCACGCGTGTCATTTGTTGACGTCACATAGCGGCAGGTGGAAGAAGTGATATAAATCACAGACATTTACTTATTATTCAACTTATACGAGAATATTAATTCATTCCTTGTCAAGACCACTTTGTATCTATAGCGTCATTGGTGATGCGGTTTTCGTTACATTAAAGAAATAGTTATTACAATTTTGATATATGTAACTATATATCTACAAAGAGATGTGTTGGCCTCGTGGCTACAGCGTGCGACTCTCATCCCTGAGGTAGTTCGAACCCCGGATGTGCACCATTGGACTTTCTTTCTATGTGTGCGTTTAACATTCGCTCAAACGGTGAAGGAAAACATCGTGAGGAAACCGACATGTCTTAGACCCAAAAAGTCGACGGCGTGTGTCAGGCACTGGAGGCTGATCACCGACTTGCCTATTAGATTATAAAAATAATCATGAAACAGATTCGGAAATCTGAGGCCTAGACCTAAAGAGGTTGTAGCGCCACTGATTTATTTTATGTTATATATCTATAATAAAGTGTCATCATTTAAGTATAGTTCAAAAATACTAAAGACCATTGTATTTGACGATTAAATTAGTTTCTCTTAGAATCCCTGCACCGTTTGCGACAAGACACACACAATTGTTCCATGTGCCTCGTACGAACTCGAATTACCTGCATAATTCGCCAATGTTTCGGGTTGTATCTAACTATGACACTAATTATAAGGATATTGATATTTTCCACCTTACCAAAGAGGATGTGAGAAAACATTTGAATAGGCGGGAAGACTTTGATTTTGTTTAAGCAGTAACACTCTAGTTTTTTCTTTGAATCGTTTATCGTTTGCTTAATGTTATATTTAAAATTTTTTTTATGTATTGTACTTATGTTTTCTGTTTCATATATATATTGTTTATCTATGTAATCTGTTTTGGCTTTCTATATCGTCTAAGTTTTATAATATGTATGTTAGCTGTAAGATTACTAATAAATAAATAAACATAACATATTTTTGTAACATAGCACAAAAGTTATTATTAGTACAGCACAGTACGTTTCAATACAGAATGGTATCACTAAGTAATCATAAGGTAGCTCAAGTAAAAGGTAATAAATCTGTACCGGGTAATAACTCACACTTGCGATGCCCTAATTACTCACCCTCTGCAGGCCCTCTTAGAGCAGATGTATTCTTCATACATCCCTAATTATCTTTAAGTACATTCGGGAAGATATCTGACGTTTTATATGTAACCACATTTATTACCACAGGAGTAATTAGATTTTTATGTTCGTTTGTACACAGATTATATGAGGCAGATTAAATTTTTGTTAACTTAGGCTAACTACAACTAGAACTAGTTTTAGTGTGCAGTAGAAGGGTAGATTGAAGTTTTTAGAGGAATAATATAATAAGAAAAATATGTTGCTACGCGCGAATCTCGATGCCCAATTTGACAATTTTTTTTAAATTTATTTATTGAATTCTGAGGAAAGTTGGAAATATAAAACAAATTGTTTTATTTAGTGCCTAGGTTTTATTCCAGAAGCGATCTATGGGGTAGCATAGCAAAATGTACCTTATGTTGGTATGTAGCTACTAGAAATGTAGTATTAGTATTAAAATCATATTAAGGAGAAACGAAGTTCGCAGGGGCAGCTAGTGTTAGATAAAGTAGGTTAAGTAGTTTTTGAAGTTCAACCAAAATAACGTTTCGTCAAATTTCAACTTGTCTACAATGTCTACATTCCATTATCTTTTACGAATAGCTAACAAAAATTTATGACATATGTCACACAGAAGTCTATCTTCATCTTCGGTCCTGTCTATGAAATAAAAATGATCAAAGAAACGGATGCAATCTGAAGCCATGATAGGGTTGTAGTGACACTGGATCATAATTATTATTCTTATTTAAAATATAGCCTCTCATAGGTATTCATACAATTTATTATTATTACTATACTTATTCAAAGGTCTTAGATATCATAAAGTTTAGGGCTATTGAAACTCTATTTATGTTTTATCTTAGCTGCCAAATGTTTTGTTCTTGTCGCTCTTGTGTCATGTCAACAACAAAACAAGGAAATGTAAATATGTATATGAAAAAGACAGTAAAATTAAAGGAAATTCCAGGTATATTCTAATCAATAACAATTTGCACACAATACTATTGAGTTACATGCGTCATTAGGGAAGGGTTCAATTTGTATGAAAGATGGATTGGGAACCGTAATTAATATTTAATATGTTCGCCTTTGGTCCAATCTTACGTTTTACAGAAAGCAAAGGGATAGATTCCAGTTTGTTTAATAAATAATATGAATATTTTGGACTCAAAATATATTTTACTTGGTTGGTTAGGTTATTTATTTATTTATATGTATTTTTATATTTAAGGATATATAACGATAAGTAGTGATATTTGTAATTTTTTGAAGTAAAACTTCTTTAGGCGCATGAGGGTAAAATTTTTACGGAACGTCACGAAGATGTGCAGCGTTTTTGTCGAAGAAAAGGGAGAGAGCGATTGAGACCCATTGAGGGAGAAGGGTGAATAAAAATAAAAAAAAATCATTTAATCACATAGGTAACATAATGTACACTTATGACTTGTCAGTAAAGAAATACATATTAATGCTTCTAATTACACGCTTTATACATATTAGCTTCACCTGTATGTATGTATGTATGTAACCGACTATTTCGGACTCGATTTTGACCCACTTTTAACGGACAGATTTAATTCAAACTTTGTACACTTATAAAGAATCAGCGACAATATAATAATTTCATAGGTTTATCTCGAAAAAACAATGATTTTTTTTAAGTCCACAAAGCAATACGGTTAAATTGAGACAACACGTATTGCTGTTAGGACTAAAAAGTGGAAAATAAATATAGTTTAAAAAAACTAAAAAACACGCTTTTAAAGCACATCAAACTAAAAAGTGAAAAATAATTCCTATATATTTATAGGTTGCTCGATAGACGAAAAATATGGCACAGAGCGCCCCACGCTTTTACACAATAATACCAGTATTTTTTGTTTATTACTATTTTCAGCCTAAATTAAGAATTATTTTTCACTTTTTAGTTTGATGTGCTTTAAAAGCGTGTTTTTTAGTTTTTTTAAACTATATTTATTTTTTACATTTACTGCCAAGTTCTCAAATCAAGGGCAAGAACGGGAGAGAAGAACTGGCAATAAACTCTCCGCCATTTTTTTTTAATTACCATTTTTTGTTTTACAAAATGTTCGTAAGGAGCTGCAACCATTACACCATGTCCCATGTGACATTTTAAGTAATTAATAATAATAACATAAGTTAAAAACAAAGATTTGTCCTCATGCATGCATGATCAGCAGAAGGCATGGTGAATAGGAGCACGCACTTACATTCTCGTGGGAACAACACGCAAACACATAGTCGAAATAACCAACATCACCGCATACGCGAATTCAAGTACGACCAGTCACCACAAGCAGCACCCGTTCACGAGCATGACGCATGGCCAGCCATCGGCCTCGGTGAATTACCTTAATTTATATAAATTATATTTTTAAAATTAATATTTAATATTTAATGCAAAATAATTTATTGAAATCTCAAATGACGAATTGTCATTATAAATTAAAATGCCAAGTGTTTTTATTATTGAAAAAATAAATAAAAATAAAAAATTATTTGTATTTGTATTAATTTTCGACACTTTTAATATTTTAATGACAATTCAATTAATTAAATTCCTAACATATCGTCCTTTTTCCCTACCTCTAAGTTTCGAAAATCTAAAGTTTTAGATTTGTATATTTATAATATGAACAAGAGTTAAAAATTAGTTTGCCAAATAAGTTTTGATATTTATTACGAATACATAAGTTGTAATAAATAAGGTGAACAGAATCTTCTTAATAGTGGGTTATTAATAATTCAAAGCTGTACTGTCTCCGTAATTTTTGTGGTCACTATAGTACAATAACACTTTATTTAAGAAACGAAATAAAAGATTATGAAAGTAATAGTTATATC